TGCTGGACCTCCTGATGGCACCTGGTATTTTGACCATTGTGTGACAGAGTGTTGGACTGGATGGGTACTTTGGCCTGATCCAACATCAGCATCTCTTATGTTCTTATGTTCTTAAGACCGCAAGGTCTCTTTCCTACTCAGTATCTACAGGTTCAGACTTCATTAGCATTTACTTGAAGCTAAGATTTTTTTCTCACCTTACACTTATTTGTTTTGAGCATTCCTGTGCATTTCTCTATTTCAGAGATTTCGATAAATGATGGGAATTCAGATTTCTGGGCAGCAGGGGGCCTTAGGTCTGTTTTAAGGAAAAGGGTATTGGGTAAGAAATTGAAAAGTATCAACAGGAATCACAAAAGTCCCCCCCAAAGTTCTTTAACCACAATATGATTCATGTTTTCATCTCCATATATCCCTGAAAATGCAAATAGTGGCTTTGCTTCTTACATATTTTCAACGTTAAGACAAGTTTATAAAACTGTTTTCATTATGGATTGATGTTAAGAAGTTAGGTACTATCTTACAAAAACCAGTTCTTTTCATGTGATGAGAGTGTTTAAGAAGGTTCTGTTCTCCTTTCAGACATGGATTATTGCATCACTTGCTCTGAAGGTCATTATCCAAGCCAAGGACAAGACCAGTGCCTTCCCAAGATTACAAACTTTCTTTCATTTCATGAACCTCTGAGCATTATTTTAGCCTTTTTTGCTCTTTTCTTCTCTCTGATAGCAGCTTTGGTCCTGATGTCTTTCATAAAGCACCAAGACACTCCCATCGTTAAAGCCAACAACCGGACCCTCACCTACATTCTGCTTATCTCTCTCCTTCTTTGCTTCCTCTGCTCCTTGCTCTTCATCGGACAGCCTAATGAGGTGACCTGCCTCCTCCGACAAATGACTTTTGGCATCATCTTCTCCGTTGCTGTTTCTTCTGTTCTGGCAAAAACGGTGACTGTGGTTGCGGCATTTATGGCCTCCAAGCCAGGAAACCTTTTTCGAAAATGGGTGGGGAAACAATTGGCACATTATATTGTTCTTTCTTGCTCCATTGTTCAAGTTGGCATTTGTGCTGTTTGGCTTGGTTCCTCCCCTCCCTTCCCAGATATGGACATACATTCACTGAGTAGAGAAATCATAGTGCAATGCAATGAAGGGTCAGTCACCATGTTTTACTGTACTCTGGGTTACATTGGACTTCTTGCCATCATCTGCTTCATTGTGGCTTTCCTAGCAAGAAAGTTGCCTGACAGTTTCAATGAAGCCAAGTTCATCACCTTCAGCATGCTGGTCTTTTGCAGTGTTTGGCTATCCTTTGTCCCAACCTATCTGAGTACTAAAGGAAAATACATGGTTGCTGTGGAGATCTTCTCCATTTTAGCTTCCAGTGCTGGTTTACTAGGCTGTATCTTTCTGCCCAAATGCTATGTCATTATTTTACAGCCTGAACTGAACAGAAGAGAGCAGCTGATAAGGAAAAACCATTAAATTACTTTATCAACCATCCACTTATTCTCCAGTTGTATTTCTATTGAACTCAAGGAATTTTTGTTTTGTGCAGAGAATGAAACCCATGAACCATTTCCTGACATTTATTAGTTATGTTAGTTTTACTTTTTTCAAGGCAAAATAAGAGACCTCCTAGCTTTTATGGTAAAACAGCATATAGCAAAAAGCCAGGGAAACGCTATATCTCATAGGATATGCAGAAGTTTACATGAAATAGGTGAAATTACAAATATAACAAGAGAGTACAACAATATATAAATGCAAACAGTGCAACAGGTAGCCAAATAATGAAGGCTCCGGATTCTTCTCTTTGTTTCGTGAATGTCACTTCATCAGAAGTAAGTAGTCTTGACAAAATCTTGTTGTCCTTATTTCTTTTCACGATGTAGAAAAATCAATTTTACAAATCAAGCATCTTGTACAATTTGAAATAGTCATCAAAAATCTCATTGGGCACTAGTCAAACATAGACACTGCTTCTCCATGCTAGAATGCAACAGAAGAATTGTACATTTGAATTTTTCATTCTTGTAAGTCTCAAATGTAAAACACCAGCTGAGGATTGTGTATGTGTATATTTGTGCATGTTAGTGTGTGTGAGAGAAAGAGAGAGAGAGTCTTGGTAAATATAAAAGGAGTAAGATATATAGTAATATTATGGCGGGGGTCTGCTATAAACCACCAAGTCAGGCACAGAACTTGGATGAGACACTTCTAGAAATTATTACAAAGAGAGAGATGGGGGAGACAGCATTCCTTGAAATGTTTTTTCCCCCTCTCAGGCACTTTCATCCATAATGTCAGATTAGAAACATTTGAATAAACACTGCTTGGTAGGTTATTCTCAACATTAAAGTTGATGGAGTCTGAACTGGCAGAGACTGACCAGGAGAGGGATCTTGGGGCCATGGTAGATAGCTCACTAAAAATGTCGACTCAATGTCTGATGGTAATAAAAAAAGGCAAATGCTATGCTGGGGATTATTAGGAAGGGAATTGAAAATAAATCAGCCAGTATCATATTGCTCCTGTATAAACTGATGATGCAGCCTCATTTGGAATACTGTGGCCCTGGTCACATGGGAGGTTTAGGGCTGGAAGAGGGATGGATCGGGGGTGCAGCAAACGAGCGCGATCCCACCACAACATCTGGGCAGCGGCGCGCACACATCCCCAATCTGGCCCTTCAGGCCAAAAATGCTCATCACAAAAGAACCTGCAAAAGAGCAGGACTTACCTGAAACGCTGCAGCAAGCGCGGCTGTGGGATTGCTCGCACGCTCATCTTCAGGAGCATTCGAGGCTCCTGGCTGAACTGCACATGCATACGCAGGCGCAGCCGGCTTCCTCGTTCTCCCTTCAGTGGCTCCCCCCCCCCCCCCCCCCCCCCCCCCGCGTCCCCCTAGAGACCGGGCAGCCGGCGGCCCCGAGGAGAAGAAGGCTGCCAGTCTCGGTAGGGTGCCGCTGTTTTCTTCTGCGTGTGGCAGGGACCTGTGTACAGTTCTAGCCTAAAATGATAGCTTTCGGGAAAAGTGCAGAAAAGGGCAACTAAAATGATTAAGGGGATGGAACACTTTCCCTATGAAGAAAGGTTCAAGAGTTTAAGGCTCTTTAACATGGAGAAACCAGGACTGAGAGGAGACATGATAGAGGTTTTTAAAAATTATGCATGGGATTGAGAAGGTAGATGAAGAAGTACTTTAATCCCTTTCTCACAATACAAGAACTTGCGGGCACTCAATGAAATCAATGAGGAGGTTTAGAACAGATAAAGGAAAGTACTTCTTCACCCGAAGAGTAATTCACTGCTATAGGAAGTGGTGGCAACTACAAGAATAGGTAGCTTCAAGAGGGGATTAAATAAACATATGGAGCAGAGGTCCCTCAGTGGATATTAGCCACAAGGTATAGATGCAACACTATGTCTGTGGCAATGATGCACTGCATTCTTGGTGCTTGGGGGCAGCATTGGGAGGGCTTCTGGCCTCGCTGGTGGACCCTGTAATAGCACCTGGGTTTTGGCCACTATGTGACACAGAGTGTTGGACTGGATGGGCAATAGGCCTGATCCAACATGGCTTCTTTTATGTTCTTATGTACTGTACCAACTGAAACTATCTTCATGAGCAAGGCTGCAAAGTCTAACCCACCCACCCAAGATCCAATCATATTTGAGAAGGTCAGCAGCTATCTGGTGAATAATTGGTTTCTTCAACTCTATTTTTGAATCAAGAGAAGAAGTTGGTGTGGTATGAATATTGTGAGGCTTTTTTGGCCCTTGCTTCCTTTATCACCCCAGTGCAGAAAGATCTGCACTGGCTGCTTGTCTGTTTCCAGGTAAAACTCCAAATCCTAGTTCTTATTTTCAATGCCTAGCTTGGAGTTGGAGGACTTTAAGGACCATGTCCTCCCATAGTGTCCATCCCATGTATTTCTTTCTTTCTCACAGTTCAGGTCTCCTATTCCCTGTGATGCATGCAGTGATGAAGTAGGTTGTGCATGGAGATAGGTCTCTTGAGTGTTGACATCTTGCCCATGGAATGCCCTTCCCTTTGAGGCTCACCTACCCTACTACCAGTTAGGTACAAGGCCAAAACAATCATCTTTGCCCAAGCTGTTAATTGTGAGATTGATCTTCCACCATTTTGATAGTTTACTCCTAAATTGAGAGAACTCTTTTTAAAGTTGCATTTTAAACACTGCATTTTTAGGGTGGCTTTTTCTGATCTTTGAATGATTCTGTGCTTTTTGTTGCTTTATTGTGTTTTAGTTTGTAAACCACGTTGAACAGGTTCTCTGGACAAGTGGTGCAGAAACATTCTGAATAAATAAACAAATAGATTATGAGATGAGATCAGACAAATATTTTTTGCTTCATTATTTCTGCAGCTAATTATCCCAGGACATTATCAACAGTCTTCCAAAGGAGATTATCTCCACTATAATTACCAGAATCACTGTCATTTCTTCAACCAGCCAAAATTTCAGTAGCTTTCCAGAAGGAAACAGAAAGCAAATCTGAAATGAAATCTCAACGTTCTGGTTATAAAAACTTCCAGTAAACCATTCATTGCTATAATTAGGGACAAGAGAGAGGCAGTTTTCATCTTACTACTCAATTTCTATTAGTAGCATAGAAAGCAGATAGTTCGGACATGAAAGATAAGATTCATAAGTGTACACATTAAAAGTGGTTTAGAAAAGACAGGACCCGTCTGCATTATCTTCTTGAAACCAGGCTGAAGCTAATGACGGTGATGCTATAGAGGAGACTCAGGAGAGTCCATGTGCAGAGACGGGTTTCTGTGGCAAAATCTGAGATGTTGAGACTGCTACCAATGCTGCTTCCTCGTGTATAAAGTCCATAGTATGAAGTGCACTGGAAACAATCCTCCTCAGATTCCACATCAGTGGTATCAACCAGGTGAAATCCTGATTGGTGGAATTGTAACTCATATTGGTTGTGGGTCTGAAAAGGTTCCATTTGAGCAGCACTCCGACCAGGATTATCAATGTTATCCAGTGTAAGGGAATCATTGTTCCTCTAACATAGAGATGATGATGATGATGCCTGATATCATTTGAGCAAATCCCTATATTTGCAAGAGTGAGGAGGCATTTTTAATAATGATGAATGGACACTAAGTATTGTGAGTACCCAAATGAAGTACTCATGCTCAATGCTCCCTCCAAGCCGTGGAGTCTTGTGAGCAAAAATTCTACTTTGTGAGCTACTGGCATTAAAGTTGTGAGCAAGCAATTTGGCTACTGCATAAATTAGGTTGTTCTGGAGCTATCCTTTCTGAACATAGACAAAAATCTGTAAGCTGGAGGCTAAAAAACTGTGAGCTGGCTTGGAGGGAACACTGCTCACACTCCAAGACCAAAGTTTATGCTTGTATCAGTGAGAAGCACATTGCATTGTCAATAACTTATGAGCAGATGGCACTCTTTTTGGTTATAGTATTTATACACTGAGCTTTTCTAGATTAGAAGATGGATAGCAGGCGGTAGGATATTTTTAATTGCATTAAATATACATCCATCCTATTGTAGGTGATTTTGAAAAAGTCAGTTCTACACAGGGGATGCCAACATTGGAAACTAAAGTAGAGGAGGGCCCAATGTTTGAAAAACATAGAAACTTCTGAGAAAAATTCAGTGTGATGAATATGCAAATATATTTGCATGACACAAGAGGCTCGTGACATTTATCAGGACAGACTGAACCAAGTTTGGCATCAGTGGGCATACATTTCCGCCCCTCAGGTTACATATCTCTTTTATTTTAAATAAAAGACATGTAAAAGAAGATGTGATAGGGATTGTGCATAGCTTGGACAAAGCAGAAGAAGAGTGTCTTCTCCACTGTTCACAACAGTAAATCTCAAAATCCATAAATGAATATTTTTAGCAGGATAGGTACGGCAGAGATACGAAAGTAATTCTTCACATAATGCTGGTTCTCCTGAAAGCTACTGGATTACACATCCTAAAAAGGGTCAGACAAATTCATAGATCTCTCCGTGGCCATTTGTTTTTGGTAACTAACAGGAACCTCCAGTATCCATTTGAATGCCAGTCATTGGGAGCAGTGGGAATGCTTGATGGCTCCATGTCCAGCTTATGGGTTTCCCAGGAGCATTGTGCTGTGGGAAAGAAAAAGTGGATCAGATGCACAGTTTCTCTGATTCAGCTGGGGCCTTGTTATGTTCTCAGACATATTACTGTGACCAATCCAGATGCTGGGAATTGAAGCATTCACTTCTAAAATAATATGTGGTTTTCTCTGCAGCCTGGTAACAAGGTTCTACCAGCACATCCTGGCCTTGGTGTTTGCCATCCATGAGATCAATGAGAACCCCAGCATATTGCCCAACATCACTCTTGGATTCCACATCCATGACTCCACCATAGTTCCAAAATGGATTTACAGGACCACCCTGGACCTACTCTTCACATCACCTGAACTCATCCCAA